CTTGAGTTTAACTTATATTTACATGTTTGTATTTGTACAAATCTATAGTTTTGTGTATCAGTTGTAGAAATCATGGCTTATTTTCGAAATTATTCTAAACACACATTGATAAAAATATTTTATGTTAAAAATGTTTCTTTTGCTAATTTGGAATACTATAGGTGAAGTCAATTTGGAATATTCCAAATTATGTGCACATTAGTTTGCCTTCTTGTTTCTACTTCTGATTGAAAGGATTCTTTTTAAGTATTTATTATTTATTCAAATAGTCTTTTTGATCAATATTATTTAATTTTGTTTTAGTAATGTCTTCGACCACTGCTAACTCTGCCAGTAAATATAAAAAGCGTAAGAAGTAGAGTCAAAATGATATGGCTGCTGCAATATTAGCAGTTCGAGACAAGAAAATGGGCTATTTAAAGGCAGCAAAAACTTATAATGTACCCAGAACCACCTTATTTCGACTTGTTCAAGAAAATGACAGTTTGTTAGAAGATACTCTGACCAAAAAGATAGGTCGCAGACCAGTATTTAATAAGGTTTTTGAGGAAATGTTGGTGAAATATGCCCTTGTTATGGAACAAAAATTATATGGTTTGACTCGAATGGATATGAGAAGGATAGCATATCAACTTGCTGTTAAAAATAATGTGCCCCATCCATTCCATGACGACAGAGCTGGCAGATACTGGCTCAAAGGATTTCTTGCGAGGCACAAGAAAACTTTATCAATACGCAAGCCCACTGGAACATCTTTTGCTAGAGCCAATGGATTTACAAAAGCAAGAATGGACGAGTTTTATCAAAATCTTGAGAAAGTTTATGACGAAAAAAAGTTCACGGCTAGTAGGATTTTTAATGTTGACGAAACAGGACTGTCAATTGTACAAAGCAAATATCCCAAAGTGATTGGTCGCCGAGGAAAAAAGCAAATTGGAGCTATGTCGTCTGCTGAAAGGGGAACTCTCATAACAGTGGTGACCTGTATGAGTCCAGCTGGTATATTTGTACCGCCAATGATGATTTTCCCGCGCAAAAATAATAGCGACCTATTAAAGAAAGGAGAGGGTTCTATTATCCCAGTACATCCTTCTGGCTGGATACAAACACATTTATTCACGCAGTGGTTTGAACATTTTATCGATTATGTAAAGCCGTCCGAATCCTCACCAGTTCTCCTCTTATTTGACGGTCATTTCAGCCACACAAAGAATATCGAGCTCATAGATAAAGCTAGACAGAATCATGTGACTTTGATTTCACTGCCGCCACATTGCACACATAAGATCCAGCCCATGGATAAAGCATTCATGGGGCCACTAAAAAGTTACTACAGTGAAGAAATTCGTATGTGGTTGCGCGAAAACAATAGACCACTTACTGCCTACGATATTTCAGAGTTATTTGGCAAAGCTTATCTAAAATGCCAGACTGGTGAAATTGCAGCAAATGGCTTTAGAGTTGGTGGCATTTATCCATTAAATACAAATATTTTCACGGAATCTGACTATCTCGCAGCAGCACAAGAATCAGCGGATGGCATTGCTGAAAACGAACAAGAAGCACGTAGTCCTATCGCTGCAAGTCCACAAGTCATAAATGAAGCTGGAAATCATTCACCAACCCTATTACAAGGTTTTGATGACAGTCATGTTGATGTTTCGTCAGATAGCAGACAACAGTCAAATGAAATTGTGTCGGAAACAGATCCTCCAACAATAAACCTTCCTGATATTGCCATGCGAGAAGAACAAGAAAAAGAAAATCTTCCTGGACCTTCTCGTAGTAACCCCATTGTGACACCGTTTCAAATCTCACCAGTTCCTACTTCCAAATATCGGTCATCAAATCGAGGTCGTAAGCCAGGTAAATCTGAAATCATTTCTAGCTCACCCTACAAAAAGCAATTGGAAGTAGCAATAAACAAAAAAAAACTGAAAAAACCATTTGAAAATGAGTATAAAAATAGAAACAAAGAAAAGAAAACAAAGAGAAATTTAAAAGGGAAAGGAAAGGGAAAAGGGAAAAGTTCCAAATCGACCAAAAGAAAGATATTTCCAAAAAAAGACACAGAGTCTGATAGTGATGATACATTCGCATCTGATGAATCAGAAGAAGATATACCCTCTTATGCTAATGTGAGACAACCTACAGGAAATGACTGTATTTGTTTTTTCTGTAATGGAAAATTTACCGAAGATCAAAGGGGAGAACAATGGGTGCAATGCTTCACATGCGAAGGCTGGGTGTACAGCGAATGTGCTGGTTATGATTCGGGTTGCTATGTTTGTGATTACTGCAAAGACTAGAGAAAAGCAAAAAAGTAGAATTGATTTAGAAATAAGCATTGATATAGTTTTTTAATTTAAGTGATCTCAGTATCTTGTATCTACAAGCTTTAGGCCAATTAAATGGTTAATTAAAGTTAATTATTTAGGTGATTGTAATTTGGAATACCCTATTCCAAATTTGATTCACTTTATCTAAACTACGCCAATCTGTGACTCTATGACTAAACCAAAAAAATTCCTACTTAAAATAAGCCAAGGTTTTCAATTATTTTTTATTTGATTAAAAGATAAGTTTTTCTAACACTGAATGCAGTTTTTATTCTTAAAACTCTCAACCCATGACTGATACGATTTTTTTAGAAAGTGGTATTCCAAATTTGCATCCTTTACTCTACTTTAATGAGATATTATTTGCTAATAACTCCAAGACATCACTGCTGGGCTATCGCAAGGCGCAAGCGCAAGTCTCTTCAGATAAATATCTGTTAAAAAATAGGACAATACCATAATTTTTATCCTTTTGCAACATACAATAAAATAATTGAAACCACGATAGACATATTATACTACTTAAAATATCTTAAAACGATAATAGTTGGTCACTGTCTACTACGATATACTGCTAGGGCTTCCGGGAGGCTATTACATCTAAAAACTTGTTTTATTTTAATTTAACCTACTTAAAATTCTATTCTACTAAATTCTTCTCACTGACCTCTATATATGGACTGGCTATACACCGTGACATAATGAGGCGATTTGATTTGCGCCATTTTGGCGCTGACAGCAAAAGTGAACTTGACAAAATATATCGATTAAAATTCTATACCCCGCCTATACCTAAATAAATAGAATGGACTCTATGGACAGATGGCCTCTACCCGTAACGTCCATTTTATTTATGTATCATAGTAATATAATGCCATTATCATTCATCATCATTACAGCCCTTTACAAGTCCACTGCTGACCATAGGCCTCCCTCAAGGAATACCACTAAGCACGGACCTGAGGCATTCATCAACTTCCCACATGTCTTACCAGATTGTCACTCCATCTAGTGGGGGGACATCCTACACTTCACAGATAAGGCGCAAACAAAAGGCGCACTGCCCTTCGCGGCCTCTAACTTCACCTGAACTACGGACTCCGCCAACCCGTTATGTGAATGGAACCAAGAAAAAACGAGCACTTGGGGAAGCAACGTGGTGCAGCCTCATCGAAGTCACGGAGGATAGTCGAGTGGCGCATCGCCGATCGCCATACTAACACTTCTTTTCCCTTACACGAGGAGAGGAATCTTCCCGCAGCCCACTAACACGCATCCAAGGGCTCAACATCATCAGGCAACCAAAGTGAAGAAATAAAAATCATTCGAAATAATAATCGAATACTTTTATACTTACTGGTATTGGTACTACCAGAAAACATTGTAGGTATACCGCACTTTTTCAAAGTGGTGTATTTCTCATACGTAATAAAACAGTTGTCTGTAAAATGTTTAGAACAAAGATGATCATTTTGTTTCAGACGCCAATTCACAATATTTATGCTTTTAAGCCATAATTTTAGTCTAGGTTCAGTTGGAAACCTGTTAATTTAATAAAAGACCTATTAATTAATAAACATTTGATAATTATCTGTTGTCGATGACTTTGGTTGTTAACAGATATGGGTAGGAACATCAATAAGTATTATAGACAAGGAACTCGACAATACTATTGAATTTTATTGTTTATCAAAACTCAGTAATAAACAGGCATATATATGTTGGTATATATGATATTAAGATTAGTAACACATTTTAAGTAGGTACCTATATTATCAAATAGTTTTAATTTGTTTAATAGTAGCTGCAAATTCACTCACTTGTGGAATATTCTACCACTTTCTTTTTGTTGAAGAGTTTTACAGATTAAACATACTCTCACTATTATTAAAAATAATTCTTATTATGCAACTTAAATTATAGACAGTCAAACCACATAAAATACTTTCATTTTTTAGTTTTAAAGTACAAAATACAGAGATAAGATTTTGGCATATTATGTCAATTTTAGTTTTCAGGACGGCAAATGGTGGCGCATCAAATCGGCACGGACATTCTGTATGGTATAGCCGGTCCGGCGTACTTGTATATTCCCCCCACCCCCCACCAATTTTTTTATTTTATTATAATAAAAAACATTTTTTTTTTTTTTATTTTTTTTTTTTTTTTTTTTTTCTTTATAGGGGGGTTTGTGTCTTAAAATTTTTTTTTTTTTTTTTTTTATAATAAAAAACCTTTTTTTTTTTTTTTTTTGTTTTTTTTTTTTTTTTTTTTTTAAATTTGTTTTTTTTTTTTTTTTTTTTTTTTTTTTGGATAAAAAATACCTACATAAAAAAATATCTTCATCTGAACAACTAATTTCCCAGTGCGTTAATTTGACTGTGATATAGAGGTCAGTAGTTCTTTTATTCTCTAAATAATAATTAGGTGTAGTAATGATCCAACCCACAAGTTGTCACAAAAGGAGTAAAGTATACCTTTTCTTCCCCAAAATATAGTCTAGGTTTCTTAATTCATTGCGTATAATATTTTTACGCGTTTGTTTTCATTATTTGGAAAGTTCTGCGTAACTTGGTCTAATGTTACGTAGGATACTTCAATTTCAACAGTTCGGTTATTTGGGCCGCTATTATGGTGTACAGTGGGACGTTTATGGGAGTACTAGGCGTGAGCTCGTGATTTCTGCGCTTTCAGAGCATGTTCGCGAAGGTGAGCCATCAGCAATTCCAAGTATTCCTCACGATGCTTTATGAAATGTTGCACGTGCGGCGAGCGGTCCCAGCATTGCCAAGTGCACTGCGGACAAAATAAACTTATATACATTTTTTATTATTCTCCCATATTTTTATTGACGTGTCAACACAAAAAAAAATAACTTTCAATAACAAATCAACAATGATAACAGATTTTAGTGACTGTATTGGTTACTCTTTTTGCAATTAAACTACGAATTAAATGGTAAATTCAACAAATTCACCGTTAGAGGCGGTGTAAGAAAAACCACTGTCCCTTATGGTCCCGTGGGTGTCGTAAAACAAACCAGGAGATGGGACGCAGCATTCTCCTAACAACTGAAAAATAAAAAAAAATGCGGTTGCCAACACGCCTGTCGAGTGTGGTAACTGGTAAGTAAGACAAATATCACCCCTACAAAGCAATCAATGAGGGAGGACCATAGAATACTATAATACATACATAATAGAATGGGGGAGTGGGCGGAGCCCGCGTAGCCACTAAAATGTCACTAACACGTCAATTCACACGTATAAATGTCAACACGAGATGTGTTTTGACGTTACAATCGTTTCCAAATTTCGCATGCAAATTATTTTGAAAATGCCAAGATTGCACCCTATTTACAAATAAATATGTATTAATATTTAAATGATTTTTTAAATGATGGTCTTGAACATTAATCAAGTCTAAAATGTGTAAATTTATTCAGTCTGTCAACACAGCGAATCGGGTTTGGCGACGCCAAATCTCGTACAAAGTAAAGTTGACAGCCATTCTATTGTGTATTATAGTATTCTATGGGGAGGACTATGTTCAATGGTAGATTTTGATAGGCTGTAACATTAACGGGAAGTTGGTAAATAACAAATGACTAATATTATACTTTAAAAAAAACTTCAACAAAACGCATTAATCACGAGTTGTGCCGATCTTAGTGAAAATACTAGGTTCACCAGACATTAAATTATTGTATCGTCATAGGTTTTTATTTAATAAAGATGAAGAAGAAGAGAAGATTATATAACATTCCTTTGCAAATACATACATACGTACAACCATACAAGTGAAGCTAGTAAAAATGTGTTAAAAAGACATACTCATTAATCAAAAGACAGACGACAAAACGAAGTCAAACACGCTTCCCACCTCAGTTATACCATCGCCCTGTAATTCATTAATTGCATCTAGTGGAGGAGTTCGGTACAAATAGACTCCAAGGCCAGGCAATAAGTCAGGGACTTTTAGGTTCATGTTTATGTGGGACATAAAACAAAATAATTTTGCCAACTGTGTTATTATAGCATGTCTTAAAGTCACCTATCACTTCTTTCACAATTTTTCATGGAGACGCATATATTTTTTGGCTTAACAAGGTCCAAGTAGCTCACTGCTCTTTGAATCGTGCATATCCTGTAAAGCATTACATACGTGAAGCTTTAAAAGTACGACCAGGTTACTGTCAGCTTACGGCTTTTGGGCGGTATCGGTTAATACTAGGAGTGAGGTGTATTTATCGTAATCGTAACATATAAAAAACAGGTATCTAAAAAAAGCAGCCTGTCACTGTGACAAAACTGGAAAAAAAACAGCTCCTGTTCCATGAGATAGCAAAATTCATTACACAACACTCACAAGCTTTTCTTTATTCAAACATATGGCAGTTACCCTTTATTAGAATGAGATAAAAATGTTACTGTTACACTGACACTCTGTTACAGATGTCACAAGCTCTGTCGTTTACTCGCATAGGTTCAACACCTTAGATGAAAAGAGAAGTACCTACCAAGACTGTAGTAACAGTCTGCTATTTCCTAACAGGTTTTTGGAACTGTTAGTTATTTGGAACTGTAACAGGCGGAACAGATCTATGATTTTACCTGTTACAGCCTACTCCCAGTTAATACTAAAATTGCAAATATATGAATGTGTTACGGCGAATCTGCATTCGTATATCATCACGGAGTAATTTATATTTAAGTAAAGATATTAATATTTAATCCGCAACCATCCGCTTAATTAACTACAATGATGTGTCTTACCTGGATTGAAGAGCACCTCCCGCCCTCCCTCAATTGCGTGCACTAATCCCGTCACCACTAGTCCCAGCACCACTACTCCCAACACCACTACTCCCGGCACCACTACTCACAACACCACTATTCCATGAAAGACACACCATCGACGATAATACGATACGTGTTTCGCCTCTACACGAGGCATCTTCAGGTGATGTAGACTCTACGGCGGCTGACCGCTAAATCCTTATTATCGTCGATGGTGTGTCTTTCCTGGAATAGTGGTGTTGAGAGTAGTTAATTAAGCGGATGTTTGCGAATTAAATATTAATATCTTTATTATAATGAATTTCCGCAAAGTAACGCCTGATTCTATCAATTATCTTATATTTAAGGAACAAGTTAATATTGCAACGGTATCTTCCTAATAACAATTCAAAATAATAAAAAACTGCAGTTATCAGCTCGCCTTCCAAACGTGGCAACTGTGGTAAAATCGCCCCTATGAGGCAATTAATGGAGGTGGCCTATGTTCAGCAGTGGACTTCTATAGGCTGTAACGGATCATCAAGGTCGTCAGCCTGCGGCAGTCCACTGCTGGACATAGGCCTCTCCCAAGGCGCATCACTTAGCCCGATCATTGGCTACACGCATCCAGTTTCTACCAGCCACCTTGCGCAGATCGTCGCTCCATCTGGTCAGGGTGCGTCCCACACTACGTTTGCCTAGACGAGGTCCCCACGCCATAACACGTCTACTCCACCGGTTGTCACTTCTGCGACAGATATGACCATCCCATTGTCACTTCAGCTTACAAACACAGAAAGCTATGTCAGTAACCCTGGTTCTCCGGCGGATTTCTTCATTTCGAATTTTGTCTACTGTATAGTACGTACCGTATAGGCTGTAACGGATAGATGGATGAAAAGTATTGCGTAGCGGCGTTAGCAGAGTGCTGTTGACATATTCTTTGAAAGGTGAAAGCCCTATGTTTAGCAGTGATTAAACAGACCAATGATAGTAATGAGTATACTGTTACCTTAATGCCCATTTTGCTCCAGGAATCGTAGACCGCTCGGTTACTACTCTCAGCACCCACTGGGTCACTTCTGGACAGCAGGAACAGAGCCGGCGCTCTGCACATGTTCGTATGGAACAGCTGCGACGAACGGATGTAGTGCGTGGTCGCCACGTCATGGAACGTCTTCAAGTGGTACCTGGAAACAAGGTATTTCATTTATACACATGAATAAAATATAGGCGCCTGTCAGTAATATTGAAATAACTGGCTTCTATTTAACCTCTGAACCCCCTAGCGGTTTCATGAGACCGCAGCCATATTCCGTCAAATCCCTAGCGGTCTCATGAGGTCGCGCCCACCCACAGCACTTTAACCCATAAAACTTATATATAGGGACTACTTTTCTATGAAGAAGTTTGGCATTATATAATCAATATGAAATACTCTATCCTCTAGTGCAATAAAAAACTGTTATCCTATGAATATTTATTTATAATCTACGTTCATTTCGTACGCCATTTTCACGTGAATGTTATTGTGTTGATTTTTAGATTATTCAAGTGTCTTATTAGTGTTTTAATATAGTGTTTTATTATAAAATTGTAATGAAAGTTTTTGTGTGAATATAATTTATCTTTTACGTAAATAATTTCGAGTATTATATATTGAAATAATTGTGATTTTCACGCTGCCGACATTCGCTTGGTATGTTTTTTTTGTTATCAAAATACAATAAAATCTTTTTGTAATGAAGTAAAACCTGACTTCTGCTTAGACCACAGGATAGAGAATTTTGTATAGATTTTATAATGCCAAACTTCTTCATAGAAAGGTAGTCTCTAACTATAAGTTTTAATGGTTTTAAATGCTGTGGGTGGGTGCGGTCGCGTGCGCATGCCGTGACGGATCACTAGTTTTTTTTTTTTAATTCACATAGGCTTATTTACCAGTTCTTATGAATAGTCAAGAGAAAGAAAAGAAAAAAATATTAAAAAGAAATACAACAGTATTTTATCAAATCGTGACTATGACTATGTTAGATCTCCGCCGGTAGAACCGTAATAATAGTTAACTGTAACTTTAATCGCTGCTTAACCACGTACTCGACGGTTAAGGAAAACATCGCGAGGAAACCTGCATGTCTGAAAAATTAAAAATTTCGAAGACATGTGAAATCTGTCACACACACTGAAAGTAATTCTTCGGTGATGTAGAATGAATGAATGATGACGTGGCCCATAGACACCTGCATCTATCTTTCAGTTAACAATCAAAATGCAGATGCGCTGTCACTCCGGAGTACTAAGATGGCATACCACGTTGTAATAAAAAAAGGTCTTCCGGTTATCTATACTCATCACACGAAACACAACAGTATAAAGATGTTATTTTACGATGGCATTATGCGAGAGCGTGATCATTTCCCGTTCGAGCTGACCCATCCGTGTTACAACTATAGTATAGCACGAATTGTGTCAAATGGAATAGTGCTAAATTGAAGTCCATAGTCTCTGTCTACTCTTCCGGCTGAAAGGCGTGAGTTTTTGTGACGTTTAATAAAAAACGATGGAAGTAATACTTTTTGTGTACAACACATTTGAAAGAAACTGACCTACACTTATAGGTCATAGCGATAAGCGTTGCCCACGTCATTCTTAATTTATCAGAATGCTTATATTAATGAAAGTGGGTCGGCCCAACTAGTCAATTCTATTAAAGTATGCCAGAGTAAGTGGCCTTCTTGAGGCCAAAATTGAGAACACTTATAACTTCTTTAGTTTCTTCCAAACTTATATGATTGGTGTTGTCCCTCTACACAAAACGAGTGTTGGAGTGTTGGACAATAATGAAGTGCCAATGTATAATACCATATATCATGCATACCTCAAAACTTCAAAACAAAATTGTAGAACCAACGCGTGTTGCCAGTGATGACCTATGGATCTGAGACGTGGTCCTTCGTGGTCAAGAGGAAACTCAAAGTCGCTCAGTGAGGTATAGAGAGAATTGTGCTCGGGGTTTGTCTGTGTGATAGACTTAAAAACAAGTAACCGAAATGCCCCAACGGATTAGTAAGCTGAAGAACCGACAACCGATCGGGAAGAAAAGTTCTCAGGTGACAGCCTTGTACTGGTGGGCAAAGTGTAGGGTATCCCCCACTAGATGGGGTGACGATCTGGTAAGATATGCAGGAAGTCGATGAATGCCAGTGACTCAGACCCGTTCTTTGTGGCATTTATTGAGAAAGGCCTATGATCAGCAGTGAACTTGTGAAGGGCTGTAAATGATGATGATGATGTCTAAGGTCCGAGAAGTCAAACTGGTCATCTCCAATTTGATGATTAAACAAGTAATTTGAAAAACCCTTATCTAAAAGTTGAAATGTTTACGTGTTAATATAATAATACAGAGTATGGGTTCAGTATTCGACACCCTCAACACATTTCATATTGACTGCAGGATTACTTAAGGAATGCAGTCGAAATCAAATTAACCTTGAATTCTATCAGTCACCTAATCAATTCTAAGAATACATAATACGACGCTATCAGCAGACAGAAAGTTGCATAACTTGCAAATGGATTTTTTCAGCGTGAACAATAATTTTATTCTTATTGCGTCGGAGTAAGAGCGATTATTGATAAAAAAAAAGTAACAGAGGCTTATAATGTACTTAAAGTTTAATCATATCGGACATTATTTTCCTTGATTAGTTTCTATAAATATTAATATTTCGACGGTAAGTAATACAGTAACAACAATTTTATTTTATTTTATAGGATAAGGGTAACAAACGAGCACACAGTCCACCTGATGGTAAGTGGTTGATGCGGCCCATAGACATCTACATCTAAATGCGTTGTCACCCGTGAGGACTAAGATGGAATGCCTCGTTTCCAGGTAAAAGGGTCTCCGGTTCTCTACACTCACCATACGAAACACAGCAGCATCAAGTTACTATTTTACGCTGGCATTCTGTGAGAGCGTGGTCCTTCCCCAGTCGAGCCGACCCATTCGTGCTACAACTATACTACTAATATAACTTCAGCATGGCTCTACCACATAAAAAATGATTGTCTTTAACTTCATTTGAAACAGTTTTATACCAGGATTTTAAAGAATTTGTAGTTCTGTGAGGCACTACGAATTAATTCCAAACAGCCACATTATTTCCGTTCTTGAGCCATGTCTTTTCATAATATTTCACCATCATATTATCATCATTATTAAAAAAACATTTTACAAACAGCCATCATGTTAAAACGATTGTACACGGGCGAGGGAGAAAATCGAAAGAAAAATAATATACGAATTCCGTTTCTCCGCCCCATTTGGGGTGGATAAACGGACACACGCGTTTCCGAGTATACACCCTGGGGTTTATTTCTTAGTATAGATATACGGAATAACCTGGTAAGACACACCATTTTATTTTTTTACGTGGATCTTAGCTAATTACTTATTACCATGTTTAATGATTGTAACAATTATGTTTAAGCTCATTTGGTTTAGTTAAAATTCAAATTGAAAGCACCGAACAACCATCAAAGGTTAAATCATGCTGCTGTAAATTTTTGCAAACAACTTTCCTATATATTTAGAAGCTTGGTACTACCACAGACCCTGCGCCCCCCTTTCCTCGCAGCCGGCAGCGTCAGCTTAGAGCAGTCACCACCTTCCTCCCACGCTTCCCGGAGGGTAGCTATTTCTTTGCTTCTGGGCGCAAAAAAAGCTACCACAGAAAGCGGTGGGTGCTCCCGTTGCAGTCCGGAGATCTTCCTTTTGCCTTTGACAGCTAGAATCTATTTGAATTGGTTCTCCCTTTCATATTATATATAAATACATATAAAACAATTTTCTACTGTATTGAAATAAAATAAAGACGATATTTATTTACCAATAAGAAATTGCTCCTTCATTGCTCTCTCTCTCTCTCTCTCTCTCTTTCTCTCTCTCTCTCTCTCTTTAATATAAGCTAACACATACCACGAGGAAAATGTAACTACTCACTCCATGTACGCCTTGAGCGTTTTCTGCATGATCTTGTTCTTGGGGAATACGGCCATGGGTACTCCCACTGTGATCTCGGTTATGTCAGCCGCGGAGTCCCACACTTGCGCCGTGATGCGGTCCATCACCGGTTGGTATCTGTAACGAAGCGAATTAAGCATTTCATATAAATAAAAACTCATCACCACATTTGGTCCCATAGGTATCGCAATAAGCGAATATGGGTCCAGACAAAAACACTATATGGCTTCCGATAGATAAATCCTACTAATATTATAATGTGAAAGTTTATTTGGATTTCCATTATAAATTTGAACGTTTAATTGTTTTTCTTAAGTAGTAGAGCCATGCTGTAGCTATACTTTTTTGTAGCAAGAATGTTTCGACTCGACCGGAGAAGGATTATGCTACGACAGTTTATCCATAAAATCCATAAACACTCACGCCTGTCACCCAGAGGGGTAGGCAGAGACTACAGATTTCCATTTGGCACGATCCTGACACACCTTTCTCGCCTCCTTCACATCCATACACCTACGCATACATGCTCGTCGGTTAAGGGTACTCCTAATTTGGCCCGTTTCCAATAAATCGCCAATTTGGTCGATAAATTTTCGCCTAGGACGTCCCTTTCCGACTCTGCCATTCACTTCTGCAACATAAATTTTCTTTGTCACTCTTTCCTCATTCATTCTTTCCACATGACCAAACCACCGAAACATTCCTTTCTTAATTCTGGTCACATCATCTTGCAAACGACACTCTTCTTTTATTACACTATTTCTTACCCTGTCATTCAGATTCAGCCCTAACATACTCCTTAACGACCGCATTTCTACTGCGTTTATTCTACTCTCGTGCTTCTTCTGCCACACCCAACTTTCACTACCATACGTTAAAGTAGGGACCAACACAGCATTGTGAATTGCCATACGTGCATTTTTCGACACATTTTGACTCTTCACAATAGAGTGCAAGGCCCCATTTACTCTATTTCCCGCATTCACTCGTCGTTCTATATCCTTATCATATCTCCCATCCCTGCTAAATACGCAGCCCAAATATACAAACTCATCTACTTGCTCGATCAACTCCCCTTCTATTCTTATTTCACAAATCGTTTTACTTTCTTCTCTTCCAAAAACCAAAACCTTTGTCTTACTTGCGTTCACTTTCATACCCCTTTCTTTTAATGATCCGTTCATTAATGTAACCATCATTTGCAACTCGGCCGCCGACGACGCAAGAATGACTTGATCATCGGCGTACAAAAGGCATTTGACGGTTAACTCACCCATTCTTAATTCGCATTCAGACAGTTTACCAGCGTGAAATAGGAGTTCAAGGTAGCTATGTTTGATATGGTGAGTGTAGAGAACCGGAGACCCATTTTACTGGAAACAGTTATTTCTTCTTAGTCCTAAGGGATGTCAATGAATCTGCATTTTGATTCTGAATCGATAATAGATGTAGATGTTTATGGGCTACAGCAAACACTTACCATCAGATGGTCTGTATGCTCGTTTGTCACCTTATTCTATAAAAAAAATGTTTGGGGCTGAATCACGTAAAAACTATTATACAGTGTGTCCGGTCACGGACTAGCAATATTCTAGCTACTTATAATACAGCTATTTTAATACAAAAATACACTACACACTGAGGTCTAATCCCCTCCCCTCTATGTGGCGGCCATTTTGTTTTTTTTCTGGAAATATTTTCTACGTGTTTACAAAAAAAAAATCATATCTCTCAAAGTTTTGGTCTTACTACGATAAAAATTGGCTCATTCTGAGGGCAACAATATTGTCTATCGTTTACGTTACCAAAAAAATTGTTCCGCTACTCGTATTTTTAAAGAAAAAAAAATTAACTTCAAATAAATATCAAAAAATTATGCTAATCGGCTAATTGTTGTAAATTACTGTAAAAACAACCCCGTTTATCCTGTTTGTTTTTTTTTTTACTAAATCGACAGATTTTGAGTTAAGCTACAATACAACATAAAGTTTACAGCTGCATATTTATTATTTTAGGAATAATTATTGTTTTTTGAACATAGCGTATGCGCAAACACAAAAGGCCTTTCTTTAGTGACAACTCAAAGGCCTTTTGTGTTTGCGCATACGCTATGTTCAAACATTAATAATTCTTAAAATAATAAACATACAGATAGATGTAAACTTTGTTTTATTGTAGCTTAACTCAAAATCTGTCGATCTAGTACAAAAATAAATAGGGTAAACGGGATTGTTTTGTCAGTAATTTACAATAATTAGCCGATTAGCATAATTTTTTGATATCTATTTGAAGTTAATTTTTTTTTCTTTAAAGATACGAGTATGTGAACAATTTTTTGGTAACGTAAACGATAGAAAATATTGTTGCCCTCCGAATGATCTAATGTTTATCTCAGTAAGACCAAAACTTTGAGAGATGTGATTTTTTTGTAAACATGTAGCGAATATTTCTAGAAAAAAAACAAAATGGCCGCCACATAGAGGGGGAGGGGATTAGACCTCAGTGTGTAGTGTATTTTTGTATTAAAATAGTTGTGTTATAAGTACCTAGAATATCGCTAGTCCGTGACCGGACACACTGTATATTAAAGATTTTGATTACACATGGCAATATTATAGATAACGAACCTGACTGGCTATATTTTTTTTTTATAAAAAAAAGTTTTAGTCTATTCCAAATTAGTGTTTTTAAACCATGCTGTTAATAAGAAAACGTCAGTTTTTTAATAAACGCGATCGGAGCCGCGGGTAAAGCTAGTGTATATTATATCCAGACCGGCAAAGGGCATCAGGGACAGATTATGTGCGAGACGTTTTGTACTGCGGCACTAAGATTTATTTATTTATTTATTAGGATCACCGACAGATGATACACAAATACTAAAAATAAGAACCAAGCATTGTGAGAAACATGCAATGCGCTCACCCAGTTATAGGTAACCACATTTAACACAGAGTAATGTTGCGAAAAGTTAATTATCGTAAAATTTAATAGTACCTACAGTAGCAAAATTGCGTATTTGTGAGAAATTAAAAGGGGTTTACATTTATCATCTAAAACTTAGATTCTAAATAAAGTAAAATTTTTCTTCTGAAATTATTTAAATTGTCATTGAAAATATCTAAATCAGATGGCTTAGATATATCATTACACAGTCTAAACATTCTGCATAATGCTGAATTAAGACCGAGGTTAGTCCTGTGAGGTGGGACCATAAACAGCTTGTAGACATTAAAACGTGGTAATCTGCTGGGAGCATTAATGTTAACCATTTCAAGTAATTGAGGACAGTCAATGCCATTATTACACAGTTTGTAGAGGAAGCTCAAATCCAAAAGTTTGCGCCTGTTATATAAGGAAGATATACGGAAATGCTTTAGCCGTTAATCATATGAAGTTAAGGAGCGGTGTCGGTTAAATTTCCTCCTCCTTCTCCGCTGTATTCGTTCAATTCCACTCTTATGAACCTCATAAAAAGGAGACCAAACTTGAGAACAATATTCAAGGTTGCTCCGAACTAAGCTGTGAAAGAGCAGTAGTAATGTTTGAGTATGTCTGAACTGTTTGGTGTTTCTACCTAAAAATCCGCACATTTTGGGTGCCTTCGTTATAATACTGTTTATATGTGGTACAAAAGACAGTTTACTATCCAACAAAACGCCCAGGTCTCGTATACACTCTACTTGATTGAGAACTGTGTTGCCAATTTTGTATGTAGTTTGGATAGGAGTATGTTTGCGTGTGAACGACATATGATAACACTTTTAGCATTCAGAATCATATTGTTTTGAGTACACCACTCGATCAATCTATCCAAATCGGCTTGAATAAGCTGGGAGTCTGTTGATGATCTAACAGGTCTAACGAATTTCAAATCGTCAGCAAACAGGTAAACTTCTGTGTTCAAAAAACATTCTGTCACTGAGTTGATCAAAATTAAAAACAAAAGGGGCCCTAAATGTGACCCTTGAGGAACACCCGAGGTTACCTTAAACGGTTCAGACTGGCTCTCATTAAAAACTACATAACACTCGCGACGTGTTAAGTAAGATCTAAGCCAATCCAAAATAGGGCCACCAATACCACAACTACTTAATTTCGTCAAAAGTCTACATGTCATGGTCAACTTTATCAAATGCCTTGCTAAAATCAGTATAGATAGCATCGACTTGAGAACCCTGATCGACATACTGGATAATATAATTGGTGAAGGCAATTAAATTAATAGTGGTGGACCATTTCTAAGGAAACCATGTTGACGATAAGTAATTTGAAATTTTAGTAAATTGTAAACATAAGGGTAGATTAAAACATCAAAAACTTTAGGAAAAATAGATAAAATGGATATTGGTTTGTAATTTCTAATGTTATTCTTAGTACCATCTTTGTAAATGGGAACAATTTTAGCCATTTTCCAGTAGGTAGGAAATATTCCAGTTTTAAGAGATTCGTTGAAGATACAAGTAAGTGGTAATGATAGTTGTTTAGCACATTGATATATAAACAACGGCGGTAATCCATCTGGGCCAGGACCTTTATTTAAGTCAAGTCTCTTTAGCCTAGTGAGAATTAAATTATCCGACAGCATAATAGAGCTAAGTGAGGATGAAAATGAATGGAAACCATCGCGTTTATGGTAGACCAGAGAGAGAAGATGATCAGATATCATCGAAAACAAAACCAATATTAAAAATTTCTTTGAATTTTTATAATTATGATTATTTAGTTTGAACAGCAATAAATTTTCTTCGAGACTTAGGATATTTATTAGTACCGATTTTATGGGGTGGAGAATATTTTTTTTATACCTAGCTTCTATCCTTATCAACTAACATATCTTTTTAGGTTAAAAAATCTAGATATAATTGCATACATTCCCATTTTATATACAGAGGGTACATAGTATTAGTATGTCAGGGCGGGGGTTAGTCTACTCCTGACTTTTTGATATTATAAATAGGACTAGATTAACACCTATTCTGCTCTCCTGTCCGGCGGGCAGTTTGGCGTATGGCTCTGGGGGAGAGCGCAGGTCGTGTTGATCCCCAGGGCAAGTCTGAGGAGTTCTCCTTCTCGTGGTTGCCGCCTGTTATTTGATCTGGTTCAATAGGAAACGG